CTGAGTTTTCTAAACCGGCTTCCTGAAATAGGGCCCAGGTCTCCAAAAATCCCAGTTTTAAAATACATAAACAGCTGAAAGGTGTGTTTTGTTGTATTAACTAATTATTTTGAAAAGTAAAACTCACAGTGATTTAGTGGTCATTAAATGTGTTCAGAATTTGCAAATTGATGATTATTGATCTCAGAACTCATGACACACTGCTCTCCCCACACAAGCTGCCTTTACAGGTTAAAAGTATCAGCATCATCAACATTTACCTTGTATTTACTCGGTATTGGATCAATCACACAGTACTAGTAAATATCAAGTATTATGGCTCTCTTAAGATAAATTCTGAGATATAACAGAATTATGGATCGCTGAAGTTCCTTAAATATTTGGATGTCTAATCTCTGCCAGCAGATTTGGAGCCCTGCCGAACCTATTCTGTGCATATAAATGACTGATATTCTGTTTATAGTTTCTCGTGAAGTGTTACATAATAGGAAGCACTGCAGCGAAGCTTTACCTTGAGTAGTCCCATCATGACCAGCAGTGTGGAGAGGAAGCAGTATGACTGGAGGGTGGAGCCAGAGAGGAGCTTCTTCAACATTGCATCTGTGGAGCACAGTGACACACTGCATGTCAGAATCTCAGAGAATAGAAGCTATCCACGTGAAAAAGAGGACAGCACAAGAGAGAAACTGCACCTTGACGTCCTCACTAATAAGCAGCCCACTCAGTGCAATTATATTTGAGGAATCTCTGCATGCAAAAGCTTTGAAAAGGGTGTGCTGTGTTGCATTTCAATGTTTGACTATAAAAAGTGACAGAGGACCTAATTTGGTTGTTCTCATTAATTAGTCATATATAAACTGTTCCAATGATGCCTGCTCATATTAAAAGTTTCAAACAATGACAGCAGTGTCTGTGCTGATGATCCTTGTATGTTAAAAGCTCAGACTTCAGTTTTCCTACTTTTGGCTCTTTATGCAGTCAGTGGACATGCTCCACCTGCTGTTTAATCCTTTTGTTTGTGAGGTGCAGCCAATCAGAAGAAAGTTGGCTTAAATTAAGAGGAGCTTGTTTTTGATGAACTGAGAGGTGGCACCAAGGTCCAGTATAAGACAAATAAGGATTATTTTGAACTTTGAATCCTGCAAATGTGGGACTAATGAGGAGCAGAATCAGTCTAATGTAAGTGTGACTTTATTCACCGATAGTATCCAGAACAGCAGCCTTGGTCTCGGGATCTTCACTGTATAGGGAACCGATTTTCAGAATGACATCAGCAGCTTTCTGTGGCTCAGATGCATCGACCTGGTGAGAAGACAGCAACAGGTTAAACCCATTCCAGCAAAGTAAAACACGCCAACACCAACATGCTACAAACACTTTGCTGACTACTTAAAAACATGTAACCTCTTGCTGAAGGTGTGTCCTCAACTCTCCCAGCTGGAGAAGCCGTTCTGCAGAGGGGTAGCTGAGGAACGACGTGATCTCCGCCTGTGGACGAACATAGAGACATCACTGAGAACTCTTTTCATTTCCCAGTTTATGTGAAGTAACTAACTGATCAACAATCACATGAAAGCAACTGTTCGTCTAATAAAGCTTCAACTTACAGGACTGTTAGGCGAAACAGGACCATTTCCATTTGTTGTTATGTCGTTTTCACTGCCCTCCTCATTCTCTTCATTGCAGTCATCACTGACATCATCATCATCATCATCATCATCATCGTCATCATCATCATCGTTTCCACTGTCATCTTCATCATCCTCATCTCCCTCATCATCACTGTAGCAGTGAAAGTTTTAAATGTATTGTTTGCATGTTTGTGGAGTTAAACACTGAAAATGATTATGGATTTTTATAGCCTGCGTTACCTGAGTGACTCGAGCACGTCTCCTTTGTTCATGTTCTCCATAGCCTCTCTCAAAGCCTCACAGCCCTCCTCTCCAAGACAGTTACCTATCAGCCACAAACAAAACCAGTTTCAAACTAAAAATGTCTTTTTATTTTACATTTCTGCAGCATTGTTCAATCAACCTGGACCTTCTTTCTCCAAACACATAAAGACCCATTTCATGGTCAATGTGCATACCGTTTAGATCCAATTTCTCCATATCAGCTTTGTCTGCAACAGCCTGAGCCACCACTAGTGCTGCTGCTTCAGTGATCTCACCAAATGACAGATTAAGCTCCTGAAAAAAAAGTTGCATGAGAGAGGACTGTGAGATGGAAGAGACACAAAGGGAACCCATGTCCTGAGCTGCGATCGTACACTGACCTTGAGGATTGGCAGTCCTTCTCTCAGGACTGCAGCGAGGGCGACAGCTCCCTCAGAACGGACCAGACAGTCACCAAAATTGATCACTTGGATGTTCCTGAGATGCCTCAGAGCCTATAAGGCCAAGTGAATTCGGGGACACAGTCAAACACCGGATAAAGGTCCTCTCTGCTTACAGAAAGTTGTTGAAAAAAATTATGGAACTCACCTGTGCCATGGGCAGCGAGCCCTTCTTGGTGAAAGTGTTGTCATTGAGGTTGAGGACTCGAAGCTCTGGGTTATGTCGAATGGCTGAAGCTAACGCCATCACACCTGAGTAGTTTATTCCATTCTGGGGCATGTGAATCTCTTCAAGGCTGCCCATCAGCTGTTGTGAAAGCGAGGAAGAAACTGCATCATGAAACAGAAATGGTCTTTGTTCCTCCCAAATCAAAAGTCCATAATATCATTACAGTTACTAAACGTCACATTTACGGTAATGTAAAACTGAACATGGTGGGAGTATTTTGTACCTGAAAGGCCTTAGCCAAGGCGCTAGCTCCTTCATTTTCCAGGCGGTTCCTCCCTGCTATAAACACTCTTAGTCTAAGTGGAGCTCCAAGAGACGATGACTGTCTGTGGCACTCAATCAGGGCTTCAGCCAAGATCTATATTAAACATACAAACATGGATGCTGTTAGAACTATAATGCAAATACACAATAAAGTGTTACATTTTTAAAAATCTGTTAACTACAGGGAGTGCAGAATTATTAGGCAAATGAGTATTTTGTCCACATCATCCTCTTCATGCATGTTGTCTTACTCCAAGCTGTATAGGCTCGAAAG